GTTCTTTTGGACAATCCATGATATTTTTAATAGTCTCCTCCAACACCATAACTTAAATGCATCAATTTTTCTATGAACGTCCTTATTCACGTTCCAATTTTCACACACATATGATGTTTTTGAAAATACCATGGATTGGGCAGACACACCTTAGTTCTCAAACTGACATCTTTGTTCTTGATCACTTTAAAGAGGTATTGTGCAGCAGATTTGCCTAATGACATACATTGTTTAAGTACTTGACTGCTGCTTCCACAAGTGTTAATGGTTGATATAAGCAAAACGAGGTCTTTGACAATTTCAATTTTTATTCAGTTAATCATGATGCTATTTATTTGTTCTGTGGTGAGGATTTTTATTTTCTTTTCATTGAGGTGCAACCCATACTGAAGACTGTAGTCTTTGATCTTCATCCGGAAGTATTTCTATATGAAGTTCAAAGACTACAGTCTTCAGTATGGATTGGTAGAACTCTGCTGACCTTTCCAAAATCGGCATTTTGGACACAGCTGGTATTTGAAAAAATGATAGCATAAATTGCAGCACACAGCAACACACAAACCACTACAGTATGTCAAACTGACAGATGATAGTCTGGTCTGTATATATTCTTTTAGTGCTTAAAATAAGGGGGTGCTGAGGTTGAGGGTACAGTACAGTGAATAACTTGTAATGTCTCCTTTAGTCCGAATCTTTGTAATCACACCAAACCACTTTTTCCAGATGGGGCTGTATAAGAGAAGGTGAGGAAAGATAATGGATTATATGATTCAGTTGTAACTGTTTACAAGGTTAATTGTGAAAACTTGGAACTCTAATGTAGATATGTTGTTTGTTGTTGTTATGTGGTGTGGAGTTGGTTCAACTCATAGCCACCCTATACTGGGTTTCCGAGGCTGTAAATCTTTACGGGAGCAAAAACCTCATCTTTCTCCCACAGAACAGCTGGTGGTTTCAAACTGCTGACCCTGAGGTTTGCAGCCCGATTCGTAACCACTACACTACCAGAGCTCCTAGTAGGTATAAAATTAACAATTTCAGAAGCAGAAGTGGGATTTCAGTAGCATCAAGGAAGAAGAACTAGGAGTGTAGCACATCATTTGGACTCTGAGATGACTGCACATTGAATTTCCTTGACACAGGGATGGAAAACTGTGACACTAGAGGAGTGGCAGAGAGGCAGCAGCAGCAGTGGAACTAAGAGTCAGAGTATGAGACAGAATGGTGGGATTCGCAGTCCGTGGAGTAAGTAAACCTGAGTGACTTGGCAAAAGGCTTGCTTGAAGAGTGGGGTACTTATAGACCCTTAGTTGGTCGAGCAAGGTTTACTGACTCATGGATTTAGAGACAAGTGTCTTTATCTTGAGGTTTATGGTGGGATGATGTGCCTTGTTGGAGTTTATCAGTAGTCCAAAATGCTTTGTAACATTGCTGGAACAGAGGAGACGCCAAGCCAAAGACCAGAGAGAGCGACCTGCCTGTGGGCATGGCAGAGGAGAAGCTGGCTTGACTGGAAGAATTAACCTATCCACATCCCTAATAAACTCTAATTCTGAGTATGGGATATGAGTTCTGTGTGGCCCTTGCAATTAATTATTGAATACAGTTGAGTAGAGGGGATTTTAAAGATGATTGGTGCCGTTTTTGCAGTGGATATATTTCTTTTGCCTGTGATTATCTCTTCAGAATCCAATAACCTCCATTCATACCCCTATAATAAAATAATAAATATAATAATGAATACTTGAGAACAGTATAATGGGACAGGTAAGAGACCAGCATCTAAAGGCAAGAAAACTGTGTGCAAATCCAATTTAAAGCTTAAATTACAGCTTTTCAAAAATGACTTAAAGTAATTGACTCAATTATCTGATATATTAATGTGTACTTAACAAGCGGTTTATTATTAATGCAAAAAGATTAGATAATATTATGACTATGTTGTTGTTGTTATGTCCTGTGCTATGGAGTCAACTCTGACTCATAGTGATCCTGTACAGGGTTTCTGAGGCCGTAAATCTTTACAGGAGCAGAAAGTCCCATCTTTCTCCCGCAGAACAGCTGTTAGTCTTTAAAATAATATTCAATATATACTAAGAGTGCCTTAAGTATAGATATTCTGATGATGATGATGAATGGTAATAAAAAGTATGATGATAATGTGGTACAGATGATGTGTAACTGGAGGCAAATATGCAAAGTATGATAATATCTGTAGAACTTAAAGCATGTTGATGTTAGGTGGCACCAAGTCAGTTCTGACTCATACATAACAAGACCTTATACATAACAGAATTAAACACTAACACTGGTCAATCTTGTACCACCCTCACAATCGTTGCTATACTAGAGCCCATCCCTTTGTTGCTGCCACTGTGCCAATCCATCTCATCAGGGGTCTTTCTCTATTTTGCTGACCCTCTACTTTACCAAGCATTAATTATATCCTTCTCCTGGTACTGATTCTTCCTGATAACATGTCTGAAACATGAGAGATGAAGTCTGGCCATCCAGGCTTCCTAGGAGCATTGTGGCTTTACTTCTTCCAACACATTATTCATTATATCTTATTATATTAGTAACTATGCATCATATTTTAATATAAGTATGATTTTACAATGAAACAGTCAATATCTTCAATATATGTGCAACAATTTACAGTGAAATAAATGTATGAGCATATCCATTTCTGAACATTTCAATTGGAGATATATCTCAAACAAATTAAGACAATGCCTTAGGGTATAATTAAAATGCAAATCTCAAGAGATGAAGCATGCTAATTGACAAATTTCTTTATGAGATGAGTTTGAATGTTTGAGGAAGAGATGCTGATATAAGAAGGCTGTTTAGCACACTAGGTTTCAGAAGACAATCTATTGTCCTGAAATTACTTTAGAAATACACTAAGGAGAGTTTAGCCTGAATCCAAATGTTGATTTGAGGGGAAAAAAATGACATTAAATAAATAATGATTCAGTTCATTTCCTATTTCTCTCCTATCAATGGGAGGAAATATACATAATATTTAGTACTATCACCCAAAGTGCTGCTGTGTTTTTACCAACATCATATTTATAGGAGTCCATTATGGAGTCCTGGTTTTGTGCTGTAGGGTAAACGCTGGCAAGGTCGGTGGTTTGAACCCACCAGCTGCTCCTCAGTAACCCTATACAGGGTCAGTATGAGTTGGAACTGACTTAACAGCATTTAACAACAACATTATATTGTAAATAAAGCTCTGTGCTAAGCAATAACAGATGCAATCCATTATACTAACAATCCATAGAATACAGAATCATAGATAAGGCAAATATATGCAAAAATTAACATGAAGTTGCATAATATTTTCTTTTCTTATTTCTTGTTGTGTGAATATAAACCTGAAAATAAAAATATAGTTAAAAGATAAGAAAAATGTTCTGTGAATGACTGAATCCAGGTAAGTCTTATTTTATAATCTTATTTTAGTTGAAACTGTATGTGTATATTTTCCATAATGGGAAATATCCTGTTTCTTGTCTTCATCATTCAGTAGGCCTTAAGGAAAATTGCTATAGTGATAAGCAGGAAAAAATTCCTTGTTGAATAATGAATATATGGATAAGTAGAAATGCATGGATACTAAATGATGAGTATTGCTGTTAAGTATCATTGAGTTGATTCCAACTCATAGTGACCCTGTATAGGGTTTCTGAGGACCGGCAGGTGGGTTTGAACCAGTGACCTCATACTTAGCATACTACAGTGCCACATCATGAGGACCCCACTGAATGATTAGGTACACTTAATACAGCATCAAGTCATACATTAAGTTCCTCATTTAGTCTTAGTTCACCAGCAGAGAAAAGAACTGAGATGCGAGAAACGTACAGCGAATTTTAGTATAAATTTGTAAAATAAAGAAAGTTTCTAAATTTCCTTGCTTTCCTTTCTTTTACAAATTGTAACTAAGTTTTATCTTTTCAATGGACATAATAAAATTGTAGACCTAACTTTTTATTTTGTTTCTTTAAAAAAACAAAAACCTGTAAAGTAGCTGTCCGGGGTCAAGAATGTAAGGCTGCTACACAAAAGTTTCATTAAACTCACAATTATGGAAATTTCTTTGTCCAATTACCTTTGTACTTTCTAATAGCTCAGTGTGATTGAGAGCCCTGGTGATGCAGTGTGTAAACACTTGGATGCTAACTGAAAAGTCAGTGTCTGAAGCCCACCAGTTGCTCATTAGAAAAATGTGATCATCTGCATTCATAAAGACTATTGTTGTTAGGTGTAGTGAAGTTGGTTAGACTCATAGCAACTCTGCCTAGGTTTCCAAGGAGCACCTGGTGGTTTTGAATTGGAAACCACATGGGACAGTTCTACCCTTTACTATAGGGTTGCTTGGTGTTGTTAAAATGCTGTCAAGTTGGTTCTGACTCATAGAGTTTAGAGTTTCCAAGGCAGGTGGGTTTGAACCACTGACTTTGTGGTTGGCAGTCCAGTGCTTATCCTACAGCATCACACCAGGACTCCATAGGGTTTCTAGGAGTCTGAATTGATACAGTGGGAATGGATTTATGATATCATTAATTTTAATAGGTAGATTTTCATGTGTACAATTTAAGGCTTTATAATAGATGGATAGAAAATGGTATTCCACAATAAATATATTTTTTAATCATTTCAGAAAGAAAGTTTGTGGGCTTGAAATTTAAAAACAAAACAAAACAAAACTATAGTTGTTACCGAGGAGTGGATAGTGGGTTTGAACTGACAACCTTGCAGTTAGCAGCCCAGTACCTATCCTATAGCCCCACACATGGATTCTGATCTGACACTTCTGTAAGAAATGAAAATCACATAAATTCTTGAAGATATTAAATATTTGCTCATATGATAACATCACATTATTTGAGTGTAAGTAACCTCTGATTATTAGATCTTTAGACTTAAATAATTCTCTGATGTGTAATATTCTTATGTGCTAGGTAAACCAACAACCTCAGTTGGCATAAATGGCTGGGTCCAATTTCACTGAAGTGCCTTTCTTCATCCTCTCTGGATTCGCAAACCAATCTGAACTACAAGTCAGTCTTTTTTTGGTGTTTCTATTCATTTATCTATTCACTGTCCTGGGGAACCTTGGACTAATCATATTAATCAGAATTGATTCCAAGCTTCATACACCTATGTACTTTTTCCTGAGCAATTTGGCATTCATTGACATATTTTATTCCTCCACTGTTACACCCAAGGCTCTGGTCAATTTTCAGTCAAGCCAGAAAACTATCTCCTTTGTTGGGTGCTTTGTCCAAATGTACTTTTTTGCAGGTCTCGTGTGTAGTGAGTGCTTTCTTTTAGGTTCCATGGCCTATGACCGCTATGTAGCAATTTGCAATCCCTTACTCTATTCGGTGGTTATGTCCCAGAAATTGTGCAATTGGCTAGGAATCATACCTTACATGATTGGCTTCACAAATTCTCTGGTATCCATTTGTGTGATAAGCAGTTTGGCATTCTGTGATTCTAGCATCAATCATTTTTTCTGTGATACCACAGCCCTTTTGGCCCTGTCCTGTGTAGATGCATTCAACACAGAAATGGTGATCTTTGTTTTAGCTGGATTCACCATTCTTAGTTCTCTTCTGATCATCACAGTCACTTACATTGCCATCATCTCAGCCATTCTGAAGATCCAGTCTGCAGAAGGCAGGCAGAAAGCCTTCTCAACTTGTGCATCCCATCTTATGGGTGTAACCATCTTCTATGGGTCCTTGATTTTTACATATTTGCAGCCTGATAATACATCCTCCCTGACCCAGGCCCAGGTGGCATCTGTATTCTATACCATTGTCATTCCTATGCTGAATCCACTGATTTATAGTCTGAGGAATAAAGATGTGAAGAATGCTCTTTTGAGAGTCATACATAAAAAACTACTACCATGACACATCTATGCATGTTACAAAAACAAACCTAGATAGATTCAAGCATTAAATAACTTCTACATTAGGAAAATATTTGGTTTACATCAAATGAAAAATCACAAGCTAATAATCAACTGAGTCTTGAAATTTCTAAGGTAATTTATCACTTTTTTGTATGGAATAGGAGGTTGTAGTAAAAGGTTGTTTAGACACATTATTTTGAACATAAACATGTACAACTAAGTAAAGAACTTTCTGAGCAATGACTGAACTTATATCTAGCCTTATATGTGTAAGAAAGTTATCACAATTAAACATGCAAACAAACAATTAAATTTACTCTCATTATAGCTTGACGTTCTGTCTTCTCAGCAGTTAGCAAATTGTGAGCAGATTATTAGAGGAGTAAAACATGAGTTCCCTTAAATTTTACAGTAAGAGATAACAGCTGATATCTTGAAAGCAAAGCAGAAGAGAACAGAAATATTAAAAAGAAACATAAGAACAAAGATTGTGGTCATTTGCATATGGTACAAGCATTTATAAGGCCAGTAAACATAGGGTACTATCTCGTGATGATATAGAGTCATTTTGCCATAGTAGTTAAAACTTTGATCACATCTCATATATCCAGAACAAAGCTCCTATAAAGAGAATTTGGTCAGCTTTGGTCTTGGGGGTGATTTAATGTAGGTCATATAATGCGATATGTGTGTGTCTGTTTGTGTGTGTACAACTGTATGTTTGTTAGTTTTTCTTCTCTAATCTATAATATAGGGATCTGACTTCAGTAACTTCATTTTATAATATAATATAATTTAAACTATTATAAGGGAGAATATCAAAACACAGTACTGCATTATTGAAGGAATATATTGAGGATACTATCTACCTAATTATTCATTCCCTTTTGCTAAACACATGAGAGTTTTTCCTTTCACTCAGTTTCTGATTAATATTGGTGGCCCTAAAGACTTTTCATCATCATCATAATTGAAAATTATTTAACTGACTATATTTTCTTATTAGAGATTTTTATTCCAAATATATTGCTCAGCTTTTCTTAATTGTGAAACATTTTGGCTTACACTTCTTATTTATATTTCAGCAACTTTAAGTTTTATGTATTTATATTTCCCAATTGTATTGAAAATGTACTACTCAATAATGTTAAGTGGCTTGCATGCTCTGGTAATGTAGTGGTTACAAGTCAGGCTGCTAACCTCAAGGTCAGCAGTTCAAAACTACCAGCCATTCTGTGGGAGAAAGATGAGGCGGCTTTCTGCTCCCATACAGGTGTACAGCCTTGGAAACCCTATCCAGGGTCACTATGAGTCAGAACTGACTCCATGGCACACCACCACCACCAATATAATTATGCATTTAATTGTTCTTTTAAAATTTTTTGCATTGTCTTGTTGTTTCACCTCTAGGAGCAAGAATATTTTTCATTTTACCAGCCTCTCACAAGAAATAGTAATATATTTAATTCCTACAAATTCAAATTCTCCTATGCAATTCAGAATGTTTGATATATTAGGTTTCAAAATAAAAATAATTATTTTTGTTCAGACTAAGTTCACTGTGTTTCATTTAAAAAACAACCTTCTATTTCTTTAGATTGTGTTCTTATTTTATAGAACATTGTTATTTCTATGTTATTTGCCCAAGCCTTCCTACATCCAGGGATCTATATGACTTTCTACTTCACTTCTTACAAGTAACCTGAATGTAATCTGTTCACTTAAAACTTGTCTGTATTTATTTTTTTTTCCATGATAGCCTTTTTATGTTTTACTTTGGAATCACATAAAATCTGTGATAGATATCGCATTTCCATTTTAAAAATATTGAATACATGTTGTTATTGTTGTGTGTTGTTGAATCAGTTTTGATGCATAAAAACACTGTATAGTGTTTCCCAGGGCATCTGGTGGAGTTGAACTGCCAAAATTGTGGTTAAAAGTTCAGTGCTTCTGTTGTTTTAAGTTCCATCATGTTGGTTCTGTGGTATGGCCACCCTGAATAGGGTTTGAGAAAGTGAGTGGTGGATTTGAATCACCAACCTTGAGGTAAGCAGTCCAATACTTATTCTACAACACCATACCAGGACTCTGTAGACCTGGTATAGTGGCAAGTCCAAGATTATGACACAGTCAACTTATAACAATTCACAATTGCAACATATTCAAATTACAAAGAAATTGCGTGTTAACCACCTTTTTTTTTTCTTAACATCTTATCATTAGTAATATGTACTACATACATTGCAGCATATAATTTAGTAATGTTAACATTTCAGATGTTATGTTTCAAACCCTGAAAGACAAACAAAGATCAGATTTATAAAGATACTGATAATAAAAACCAATAATAGTGAAAAAAAAAAAAAAAAAAAAAGTGCCTATATATGGAGGTTGGCCCAGGAACGGGCAGTGTTTCATTCTGCTATGCATAAGGTTGTTATGAGTCGGTACTGACTCGATGGTACCTAACAACAACAACAATAAATAAATGGAGGAATCATTTTTAGTAGGAAATCCATTGTGAATCTGGAGCTACCTGTATATGTAACAAAACCTATGTCACTCAACAGACTTCACATGTAAGTAAATAGCTTTGTTCTCTGTTCTTACTTTCTGTGGATTTTCACCCTTTGCAATGTAACTTTACAGTTCTTCCAGCTATGACAAACTGTGTTTTGTAAAAATAGCCTTAGCAAAAATTCCATACCCACATTCTATTATAGAACCTGGGAATTATCAGCATCTCTTCTTTTAAACTGAAACACTTCAAATATTGATATTAACATTTTTTCCTATTTGTTTTTTTCTAGAGTGAGAATGTGTGTGTGTCTGTATTTGTTTCAAAGGAATGAATATATATATTTTTTCTAACAATAATACTTTTAAGTGTTATTTAGGATTTCCTATGGTGCTTTCTACTCCTGTAAAGATTTACACCCTCAGAAACCCTGTACAGGGTCGCTATGAGTCGGAACCGACTCGACGACACATAACAACAACAACAACAACAAATGGTTCCTTAGGTTATTTCTTATTAGGAATGTGCAATCAAAGTTCTGTGTTTTGGAGTTATTAAAGATGATTATTCTCTGTGTGGTTATGCCAGCAAGAGGATATAAATTTAGGATCTTATTTTTCTAGTTTGTGTTTAAATTTTAAGGGTTTCTTCTTTTGATAAAATATTTTATTGTCAAAGCAAATGTATATTCATTAAGTCGAATGTAACTCATATTAACTCTACAGTACAGTAGAATTGCCCCATGTGGTTTCTGATGTTATAAATCTTTATGGAAGCACTTCCTCATTGGGCTCCTGTGGAGCCACTCCTGAGTTCAAACAGCTGACCTTTTAGTTAGGAGATCAGTGTTTAATCCACTGCAACATTATCATACTGCACAAAGAGGCCAGCCAAAATTTATTTGCTTTGAACTGCATTTTTCTCCTATTCATATGTCTTTTCACTACCTGAATTATTGATCCAAGACGAGCTCAATTAGACTGGGCTACATGCTGTTGTTGGATCCAGGTCTGCTGCACATATCTTTCATCCTCCTAGAACAGCAGCCTAGAGGGACATGTCCTTTTGATAACAAGAACATACACACAACATGGTATGCCTAACTCCAAAAACACATTTCAAGCCTTTTCTGACAATACATCTATTAATATTATTGTCATGGCAAATCTTCAGTGGTAGTATTGCAGTTACTATCACTATGTAATTCATTACCGCAAAACTTGGAGTTGTGTGAAAGAACCATTATTTTGCTCATAGATTATGCAGTTCAGGAATTCAGGAAGGTAGGATAACATATTTCCATTTCTCAATGTGTGGAGCTTCTACTGGAAGTCTTAAACGTTGAGCACTGGAATTATCTAAAGTTTCACTCACTTGGGACAGCTGACATTGAAAATAGTTGATGCTGATTCTTAGCTGAGGACCTCAATGCTTCTTCGTGTGATCTCCCTACTTGGGATACTTGGGGCTTCATTACAACATGGTGGCTGCATTTAAAGGGAGTGTTTCCTAAAGGGAAGAAAGTCAGGTAAAGGCTGCACCATCTTTTTTGAACTCAAAATGTATACGATGCCACTTCTGTCCATTCTGTTATAACATCCAAAAAAGTTCTGTCCTAGTTAAAGAGAATCCATGAATTGGTTTCTTTACTTTTTTAAAGATAGAAAACTAAACTATTTCCATATATCCAGTCCACTTTTTTTCTCTATAGCATTATGACCACAATACACATGTATGGTGTTGTTTATTATCTCCCCTATGTTAACTGACTAAATGGTATTCTTGCTAGACAGTTCTCTTTAATTTGCAAATTCTTCAAAGTGCACAGAACCTTTGGCCATCATAGAACACTTTCCACCCACATGATTACATGACTAACTTTTCATTTCAAGATTTGGTTTAAATGCCAATTTCTCATTCAGTTACTGGAAAATATGTTACAGTGAAGAAAAATTAGCACATATAAACCCACACATTGTAGTTCAGCTTAAGAAGTCCTAAGTGGAGGAGATGTAATTTTATTTGTAAAATAAACAGGTCCTAAGTTGATGATAAATTTTGTCACCTTGACAGACTTATAAAATAATAGCAAATTACTCAAAGCTTATAGACTGCAGGGAACAACATGAATAAACAGAGATGAAGAAAACAGATAAGCAATACAGAAAATAGATACATTCCAAATTTCCAACTTTGAAAGACAAGTTACAATACTGAAAAATTTCTAGAAAGATTGTTCAATAAAATATGAAAAGCCACAAATACCTACTGTGGTATAATGAATTATCTAATGATTATGTAGCCAAAGTTTGTAACTTACGCGAATGTGTCTACCATGCTGATTCTGGGTAAGAGAATGTGGGAGAAGATACTAATAGGATGACAGCCTTCAGCAGTGGACATTAACAGAGGTCACTGCAATGATAAAAACTTGGAAGTCTAGTATGGTTATAAAATGAACCATCACAGAAACAGTGATGAGGGGCTCTCACTTCAAGATGATCCAGGAGTAGAGTTCATACTGTGGACTATGATATCACTGCTCATTCAACCTCTTGACCCAAAGACAGAAAACAGTGATACTGGAGGGAGGAGTGGCAAAGTAACAACAACAGAATCATGAACAAGAGCATACGACAGCGCAATGACTTCCAGTCCACAAAGTACAGCTGAGTAACTTTGGGTAGGAAACTCATTTGGGGTGTGGTGAAGCAAACTTTGTTGAGCCAAGGTGATAGTACTGAGTGCCTTCAGGCTGAGGCTTATGTGTGCTGTGGCCATTTATCAGCAGCTGACTGGAACAACTATGCCCTGAGCATTTTCTGATCCTGTATCACAACCAACTAAATGGCTCTTAAAAACATCATAACATGTTAACTTCCCAAATAAACAACATAACTGTGACTTGGGTGTCTGAATTCTGTGTGAGTGCTACAACAAATTATTGAACCTAGTTGGATACAGAGGCTGTGAGAGTAATGGTTTATTTTCACATATTTTATCACCAGTAGCGTAGTGGTTACGAATCGGGCTGTGAACCGCAAGGTCAGCAGTTCGAAACTACCAGCTGCTCTGCGGGAGAAAGATGAGGCTTTCTACTCCTGTAAAGATTTACACCCTCGGAAACCCTGTACAGGGTCGCTATGGGTCGGAACTGACTCGACAGCACTTAACAACTATAACAACAACATAAATTTCATATATAATAGGGAATATCATAAGCACATGAGACATTTTTTAAACTGAAAAAATTAGGAAAATTGTTTTTAAAGCACTGTTTGAATAAAGCAAATGTGAAGGAAAAGGAATATCCCACTATATTGCTGTTAAGTGCCATCGAGTCGGTACTGACTCATAGAGACCCTACGCGCAACAGAACCAAACACTGCCCATTTCTGAGCCATACCTCACAATTGTTACCACACTTGAGCCCATTGATACTGCCATATTGCCAATCCATATCACTGGGGGTCTTCCTCTTTTTCTCTGACCCTTCACCTTACCAAACATGATATCCTTCTCTAACAACTGGTCCCTCCTGACAATATGTCTGAAGTATGAGAGATGAAGTTTGGTCATCTTGGCTTCCAGTGAGCACTCCGGCTGCACTTCTTCCAAAATGGATATATTGGTTCTTTTGGCAGCCCATGGGACTTTCAATATTCTCCTCCAACACCATAACTCAAAAGCATCAATTTTTCTACAGTCACCCTTATTCACTGTCCAGCTTTCACACTCATATGAGGTTATTGAAAATACCATGGCTTGGGTCAAGCATACCTTAGTCCTCAAGCTGACATCTTTGCTCTTCAACACTTTTAAAAAAAGTCTTATATAGCAGATTTGCCTAATGCAATATGTTGTTTGATTTCTTGACTGCTGCTTCCATGAGTGTTGATAGTTGATCCAAAAAGAATGAAGTCCTTGACAATTTCAATCTTTTCTCCATTGATAAGAATGTTGTTTATTGGTACAGTGGTGAGGATTTTTGTTTTCTTTACTTTGAGAGGCAATCCATACCATAGGTTGTGGTCTTTGATCTATATCAGTAAGTATTTTAAGTCCTCTTCACTTTCAGCAAGCAAGGTTGTATCTTCTGCATATCACATTATATACTAAGAACTAAATTCAGAATTATAAAACCTGTCAAAAAAAAAAAAAGTAAAATCTTTATACCCAGATTGTTCACTGATGATTTCTGTTAAGTTTTTTGTGTAATAAACAATACAGTATTATACAAATACTTTCTAAAAATACAATACGAGTAACTCTCTGGACTGTTGGTGGTGGTGATTATGTGCCATGGAGTTTTTTCTGACTCATAGCAACCTTGTATAGGGTTTCTGAGGCTGTAAATCTTTTCAAGAGAAGAAAGCCTTATATTTCTCCCTCGGGATGGCTGACCTTGTAGTTAGCAGCCTGACTTATATGAAGAATACCATGTCATCAAGATTGGAGGAAGACTCTTTAACCACTGATGAGATGCAGATGAAAGTGAAGAGGACTCAAAATATTTATGGATGAAAATCAAAGAGCACAGCGTTGGGTATTGGTGCATTGGTTTATATTAATATAAAACAAAAATCCTCACCACTGGATCAGTAAATAACATCATGATAAGTGGAGAAAAGATTGAAATTGTCAAAGACTGCATTTGCTTGGGTCCACTATTAACACTTATGGAAGCAGTAGCTACAAAATCAAGTGATGTATTGCAGTAGGCAAAATTGCTTCCTAGTCTGTCTTTGTCTTGAAGTTTATCTAAAACCTGTCCACCATGGGTGACCCTGCTGGTATTTAAAATATACATGGTATAGCTTCCAGAATCACAACAAATTACAAGCCACCAAAGTACAACAAATTGACAGACAAGTGGTGGATACTATAATAGTAAAATCAAATTTTGTGATTTCTTAAAAGATGAATTAGATGACATTAAGAAACCTGAATGGAAAACCCACACCATGTTTTCCATGCGATGCCTCTCAGTGTCCACCTCTCTGCTAGTTATACTCCAGACCAGCACAGCAGTCCATGAATAATATATGAAATGGTGAGTGTTCTTGAACGATACTCTGACATTGGTCAAGATGTATTATTAGTGTCAATAAAAAAAGTTACTAGTTCTGACTTTGAATATATTACTTAGAATTATATGTCTTTTTTTTTTAGATCTAAAAATGTCAATAATAGTAACACCTATCCTATGATAGTTACCTGAATAAACAGTATAATAATTTATGCAATAAGTACTCATAAAAATAAGCATTTTATTCACAAAGAAATATAATTTGAAGAAAATCTGCCAATGCATTAATAGTTTTGAATGAGTTTACTTTTTTTGAATTTTGTAGTATTATCAAAATAAATGTTGTATTCCTATAATAGTATCATGCTTTTAAATATAAAAGTAATTCATTATAAAAATAAATGTACTGTTATAATACTCAGAGTTAACTATTTGGCCTTTGAGTTACAAAGTAATTAAGTATTTCTCTAGAAATAGATTATCTAACATCCTAATAAAATTTATACTGTACAGTAAAGGAATACCAAAATACTATGGTCCATAGTATGTTACTTCTTAGGGAGTAGATGACTGTTACAAGTCTAACCCAAATTAATTAGTCCTTGAACTTTTATCCTTGGAAATGTGCCAAACAATCTCCCTTAGATATTATTCCCTGAGGATAACCAAATATTGCAATTTCAGTAATCCTCAGTGCCCTGGAATTATAAAGGGAAGATATAAGGGACGTTTGTTCATAATAGCTCACAGGTATTTTTTAGAGAAAAAAATTTCCTCGTAAACTTTTCATATGATTTGGTACAGAACAAAATTTGGAGTTTGATTTATTTTATTTTAGGGAACAAAATGCATGCACATAAATATAAAAATAATACATCTGAAAGAAAAATATTATTGTATCACAGAAAATTTCATCTCCTTAATTGCTTTATATATTTTATTTGGAAGAAATTTTAGCTTGACAAAATTCTAGAAAAGTGTTATTGGAAAAACATTTTTTCACCACCTTTAGCTGATGGTAAGTATTACTCTCAAAATTAGAGTATTTTAGGTCAAATCAAGCAGTTTTGGTTGCTCAGTGGTTAAGTGCTTGGCTGGGAAACCAAAGGTCAGTAAGTTGATCCAGCAGCGCCTAAGCTAGATGTACCGGTTTGCTTCCCTATAGATTTACGGCCTTGAAAACTCAACTGGGCAATATTCTGACATTTCTGGTCTCTATAAGTTGTCAACTGGTTTTAGTTAGTTTGTTGTTGTTTGCCATTGAGTCAGATCCGACCCATAACGACCCTATACAGGGTTTCCAAGTAGCAACTGGTGAGCTTGAACCACCGACCTTGCAGTTCAAATGGGTTCACAGTCTGGCGCATTAACTCACAGCGCCACACCAAGACTTTAGGTTAGATCAAATAAAATAGAGACAGTATAAGAAAACAAACAAACATCTATGTGTGAGTGCACATGTGTATGCCTTACCCCCAGTTATGCTAGGAACTTGGTGGCTACATATGATAAGCACTGAACTACAAACCATAAAGTCCGTGGTTTGAGCCTGCCGGCTGCTCTGCAAAAGAAAGATGAGTCTTTCTGCTTCAGAAAAGATTTAAAAAGCCTCAGAAACCCTTTACAAGGTCACTAGGAGTTGGAACCCACTTGACAGAACTTAGCAACAACATTAATGCTAGGATGTGGAAATATATAGAGTTGATAGAATCTGTAATAGGCAACAATGGTCATATTTTGGAAGTAAAACTCTTATAAGAGATTTTATTTTGAATATTCAAATTAAAAACACAAAAGGTATCTGGAAATGAATTTTTTGCATTTTGTAATTTTGATACTTCACAGGTGGAACTATCTAATTTCTAAGTAGTATTAAATAATTTGGAAGCTAAAGAACAACAAATGATGCATTAAATCTATGTTTTCACAACTGCTGACTGCACATTTAACATTTTTACTAGGTTGCTGAAAATATGCACGTGAGTATGCTTTTGGGAGTATACCTATTATGTATTATGGTAGAATCAGAGAACCAACATTTATTAGCTCCAAATTTGGATGAATTAGACACTATTCCAACCACCTTTAAAATCTAAAATGTTGATAATAGTAACATTTATGATATTTGGCTAAGGATTAAATGTGTTAAGAAAAAGAAGCATTGAGGACAATGTAGTTTCATTCAAATTAAGATGTATTACTTTTCTATTATGTGCTACTTCAATGTCATTTTATGCACAGATTTATATATGGCAATAGAACTAAGATTTGTGTTCAGTTACATTTAGTAAACCACCTTTAATTATCAATTTCTATAAAGACAAACTATGTGTTTTAAATGCCAAGCCTTTCATATAAACAAAAATCAGTATGAAATCACAGATGTTAAATATCAACTTTAATCTCCTACAGTTTAGAGAAGTTGCACACTATGGGGAGAAGAAATAACACTGACGTGTCTGACTTCATCCTCATGGGACTGACAGACTCTGAAGAGATCCGGCTGGTCCTGTTTGATCTCTTTCTCCTGATATACCTGGTTACTGTGCTGGGGAATGCAGGGATGATACTGATCATTCGCCTGGATATCCAGCTGCACACCCCCATGTATTTTTTCCTCAGCCACTTGTCATTTCTTGATCTTAGTTACTCAACAGTCATTACACCTAAAACCTTAGAGAATTTATTGACTTCTACCAAGTATATTTCATTTGGTGGCTGTTTCACACAGATGTATTTTTTTGTCTTCCTGGCTGCCAGTGAATGTTTCCTTCTCTCTTCGATGGCCTATGATCGCTATGTAGCTATTTGCAATCCTCTACAATACCCAGTTATTATGTCCACTACACGGTGCCACTCCCTCGTCACAGCATCCTATGTGATTGGCTTTAGTGACTCCTTTGTCAATGTGATTTGCATGAACACATTGCATTTCTGTGACTCCAATGTAGTCCATCACTTCTTCTGTGACACAACTCCGATTTTAGCCCTGTCCTGCACTGACACACATGACATTGAGCTCATGATATTCATTGTTGCTGGATCTACTCTAATGGTATCTCTCATCACCATCTCTGTGTCCTACACAGCCATTCTCTCAACTATCCTGAAAATCAGTTCCACATCAGGAAAGCGAAAAGCATTCTCTACCTGTGCCTCCCACCTCCTGGGAGTCACCATCTTCTATGGTACCATGATTTTTACTTATTTAAAGCCGAGTGAGTCCTCCTCCTTGGGGAAGGACCAAATAGCCTCTGTTTTTTATACTATTGTAATCCCCATGCTGAATCCACTCATTTATAGTCTTAGGAACAAAGAAGTGAAAAATGCTCTCATTAGACTTGTGCAGAAGAGAGGGAGCATCAGGCATTTAAGATGACAGTGATGTTAAATATTTAATCTCCTAGTTTCTGAATTCCTATTAGCTTTGTCTTTGGTCTTTCTATTAAAACTCCATCTAATCTTTTATTAATTTCTATGTCTATTGAGACACATTGGACACTATAGAATCTTGGACATTTCTGGCATTAAGTTCTTTTCTTTTCCTTAGAAATCCATACTAGAATTGGAAACCATGAAATGTGAGCTCAGTTTTTGATTTAAATATATATGCTTTTAAGAGAAATATATGTGCAGAATAAGAAAATGTACCATCTCTGAACTATATCATACCAATCTCTTGGATTCTCCAATTGTAGAAACTTTAGTTATAAATCAAAGCTACCTTTTTGGCACAAAGATAACTGTTTCAAAAGTCCTTCTATGTTTTATATAAGAAACAGCTTAGCTTAATTGTTAATAGCATTTATTTTACAATGAAAAATTCCAGGATTTAGATTGTAGGTCTGCTACCCTTTTAGCTACATCATTCTGAATTAGTTATAAAATTTTAGCTTCAGTTTACTTAATGTGTATAAATAGTAAAGTGTACTGAGCTAGAACACAATTTAAATATGAAAACAACATGCAGTAAGAGTAAGAGATGATCATTATCATTAGATGATATACTTTTCTGTAATAATAAGGAGTCTTGGAGATACAGGCTTAACATGATCAGCTTCGAACTAGAAATTCAGGGGCTAAAAGCTATCAGGGCCTCCATGGAAAAAAAAAGAAGTGGCAGTCTGCTTTTATAAAGATTTACCATCTTGGAAAACTTACCGGACAATTCTACTCTGTCCTAGACAGGCACTATGAATTGGAGTAGATTTTAGGGCAGTGGGTTGGGTGGTAATATTTTTCATGCACAATTCCCTTTGTAGTGAAGAATACTCACTTGTGTTTGATAAATTATTTTTCATTAAATTAATTGATACACCCACAAGTAACTACAAAATTAAAACAAAACAAAGCAAAAACAACAGCCCTTCACACTTTGGACTTAAAATGAAGTAAATATTACAATACAATTAATATAGAAAAGTTGTGTATGCTAGTACTGAAGAAAAAATGGAAAATATAAAATAATTTCAACAAAATAGAAATGTCTTAATCATTCTTGACAGTCTAGTTCATGTGCTTTTAGACTCGTGGTGGGGAATATCTAGTCCACGGGTCATATAAAGGCCTGAGAATTCATTGGGTTTGGCTCTGCCATGGCAATTGCAGTTCCAGCCTTCACATTGTTGTTGTTAAGTGCTATTGAGTTGGTTGCAACTCAAAACAACTACTCCTGACCTTGCAGTTCACAGTCCACTACTGACCCTACAACACCACACCAGGAGTCCACTATCGGGTCCAGTACTGATCCTACAGTGTCACACCAGGAGTCCACTATCGCATTGTTGTTGTTGTTGCTAAGTGCCATCGCGTCTTTTCTGACCCATAACGACCCTGATCAGGGTTTCTGAGGCTGTAGATCTTTACGGGAGCAGAAAGCCTCCTCTTTCTCCCACGGAACCGCTGGTAGTTGCAAACTGCTGACCTTGCAATTCACAGCCTGATTTGTAACCACTGCACTACCTATCACATTAGGGGTGAGTTAATTAGATGTTTGACAAATACAAGAAGCTAATTTTTAAGATGGTAATTTTTTATGGCCCATGGATGATGCTAAAAAATATCTGAATGGCCCTTGGGCAGAAAAAAAAAGAGTCCCCACCCCTGTTATAGACTAATACCTATACATGTGTATGTATATATTTCATACATCAACAACTCTTTATTACCTTGCACATTTTTGTTGTCCTTACCAGTTGTCATTGTTGGGTGCTATCCAGTTGTCTTTGACTCACAGAAACCTGTATAGGGTTTCCAAAGAATAGCTGGTGAGTTCGAATCTCTGACCTTCCAATTAGCACTCCAGTGCTTAGCCTACAGTGCCAAACTAGGACTCCATTATCAGTACAATATTTATTAATTCCTTTGCCAATTAGACATTTAAAATGAATGAGGTCTTAAGCATATGGCCAAAATCAGGACTCTCATTTTGAAGCACTTTTAAACCTGGAATGTTAGAAATTCATCAAGCTAAAAACCTGTATGCAGTGATATATATCCCCTGCTTTAACTTGGAAAACATAAGAAAACCCTCCCTTTCTATGGAGGAGCCCTGGTGGTGAAGTGGGTTATACATTATACTTCTAATTGCAAGGTCAGCATTTCAAACCCACCATGTACTCCACAGGTAAAAGATGAGGTTTACGATTCTGGTAAAGATTTATAGCCTCAGCAACCCTAGACAGGGTGCCTATAAGTTGAAAATGATTCTATGGCACACAACCACCACCACCTTTCTGCGTTACCTCATCAAACCTCAATAAATTGGGCTTCTGAGTATTTCAAACAATCATTGCCTTCTTCCTCATTTCTATAGGTTCTCTATGTTTAATAAGCATAAATTCTCAAATTACATGTTTCACTTATTCATTCTTAGCACTTTCAACTGAGAAATAGTGTAAAACTCAATATTGACAATGAATTCAGGATTGAAATATTCCATTAATTTTGGTCAGGTAAATTGCTAAATATCTTCCTCTTTAAAAAAATAAATCTCCCAAATATTGTAGAATTTCATTTTTAATTTTATGGGATATTCAAGGTTGTTCAAGAAAGAATTTTTTCCCCATTTATTCAATTTTCAATTCTGTATAATATTCATACATATGTGTATGTGTACATTCAGGCAATATGAGTTTATTTTTTACATTAAGGTTTCCCTTTTAAAATTAAATAGTCATATGTGTTAAATTATTCTCTTTGAATGTTTAAAATGAAGTGAAATATCTCTTTTAGGACTGAAAATATTTAACGTTCCCTCTGTTTAGAAACTCTTGGCTGATTTATTCAGTTTTTTCAAACCAACATTATGTTTTTCAAACTAATTTAATTTTTAAATTAAATAATATATAAAATTATTTTATTATAGCTTATTTTGCTTTCAAATATTTTCTGGAATGTATTTATATTTTTATAAATTAGACAAAAATAAGCATTTTGAAGTTGCATTGTGTTTTTTTATTATTATTATTTACACATTACAAAAATGTGGCACTGTCCATTCTTCAGCATGGCACTCTCTATTCAACTGGGTTCGGTAATTCATTGCGGTGACTACACAGGACTCAGATACCACATTCACGGTTATGGGATTATTAGGGAAGTTAACAGGTCACAATGCAGGGATAGAAATACTCATAGTGCAGTTTTGTCAGTCAGGACAGTGTCTCCTTAGTCATGCCAGTAGACAGACCTCTCCCTGCACCTCCAAAGTCACAGCCCTTGTAGGGCTGCTGATAAATGCCCACTAGACACACCACTCCACCATAAGCCTCATCTTGAAGATATTCAGCTCTAGCTCTGTGAGTCAGCAAACCATGCTCCCCAGTTAAGTTCCTGGAGGCATCTCACTCTCTAGTTTAAGTTACTCAGCTTTACCGGCTTGGTGGATTAGGAAGCTCACGGTGCACTGCTCTGTCTTGTGCTCTGATGCTTAGATCTGCTACAGCTCTTCTGCCATGTCTCTGCTGTAACAGCTTTCTTTCCCTTGGTTGAGGGGGTTCAATATACAATGATCTTGGAGTCCAAAGTATTCACGTCACTCCTGGATCTTCTTCTTCTCTGGTACTGAGATACTCTCTTCTGCCTCTGAGATGGCACATTTCAAACCCTTTAGAGTTCCAAGTTTTCACAATTACAATTAACTCTGTTAACATCCACAGCTAAATCATATCATCCTATCAGTATATTCTCTCGCCTATTTTTCACTGAGATCTATCAGCTAAAGAGTCAGTCGTTCAGTGAAAGTGATAAAGCTTGTTGTTGTTGTCAGGTGCCTTCAAGTCGGAACCGACTCCTAGCGACCCCATGCACAGCAGAACGAAACAATGTCTGATCCTGGGCCAACCTCACTACCGCTGCCACACTTGAGTCCATCAATGATGCCACCTGGCCAATCCATCTCGTTAGAGGTCTTCCTCTTTTTCTCTGACCCTCCACCTTACCCAGCATGACATCCTTCCCCAACTATTATTTCCTCCGGACAATATGTCCAAAGTAGGACAGACGAAGCTTAGCCTCCAAGGAGCACTCTGGCTGCACTTCTTCCAAAATGATAAGGCTCGAAGAAATATATTAAATGATTCACTACACCACAGGCCATCCTGACACTTCAAGCCATTGACCTTTTCACACATAGTAAATTAACTTTTCCCATAACATTCATTTTAACTGAAGACACTCAAGAAAACATGTAAGTTAGCCACTGTATGCCTTTGTCATCCTTCATTTTTTTTTAAAGTTTTTTTTTCTGAATTGAGCGAGAGTTTACAAGGCAGATCATCAGTTTTACATTCAACAAATCATACACCTTGTTTCATTACAGTGGTTATAATCCCCTCCATATACCATCAGTTAACAGTATTTCTCTCTACTCATTTTAGCTCTTTTGTTTTGTTTTGTTTTAAACACTCAGGCATATATCATAATTTACATCACCAAAGGGCAAACTCTGTAAGTCTGCTTCCTGGCAACAAGCTCTCAGTCCGTCTTTTCCCATGAATCTAGAGTCCTCAGCTGCCCCCTCTCTCCATGCCCCCGTCTCTGCCTCCATCTCTGGTGTCACTGCTTCTCTGGATAAGTTCCCGCATTCCACCTGAGCTCTTCTCCCATGATGGTCCTAGGGTCCTCTGTTTCTGGATTGATTACTCCCTGGTTTTTGTTAAAAAAAACTTATTTTACAATTGTGACACTCACAATTAGTCATGATAACAATTACTCACTATTGAACCATAAGAATTTTATCCCCATCACTTTTTACCAGATCCATCTAGACAAGATGAAAACTATGCAGTGGGGGCTGTATCTTCCCCCCACACTCTTAAACTAAACTCCCTTTTGAAATCATGTAAGCCAGTCACTTTGTGCCTTTATCGCCCCCTC